CCAATGCCCAGTGGCAAGCCTAGGTACTTAGATGACATGTGCACTGATATGCCGTTCAATAAAGTACACAATCTGTGTTTCAAGGGATTAGGGTATTCTTGTTGAGAAACAATGAGGATTTAGCCATGTTGACTTTCTGACCAGCAAAGAGCTTATACTTATGAAGAATTTCTAGCATAGTAAGAGCATGGGATTCATCATGTTTACAAAAGATTAGTGAGTCATCAGAAAAAAGGAGGTGAGAAAAAGTTGGCCCTTGTCTAGAAAATCTGATGCCCTTAAATTCACCAATACTAATCTTGTGAGCAATCAAAGAGAAGAACACCTCCGAAACCAAGATGAACAAATAAAGTGATAAAGGGTCACCTTGTCTAATACCTCTAGTGGGGGACACAAAAACACTGACTTTCTCATTTATATTAAAAGAAAATGAAGAGGATGAAATGTAAGCCCAAATCCACTTATTAAAAGTAGTGTGAAAACCCATTTTAAACATGGTATTCCTAATGTTATCCCACTGAATCTGGTCATATGTTTTCTTCATATCCAATTTAATATCCGTGAAAACTTTTGGACCAGACCTATGTCTATTAAGGAAATGGAACTCTTCATGAGCAATAATGACATTGTTCATGAGCTATCTTCCAGGAACAAATGCGTTTGAGGCAGACTGATACACTCATTGTGGCAAAATCTGAGTCTTAGAGCTAAAATTTTTGCATTGATATTGTAAACCACACCACACAGACTAATAGGTCTGAGATGACAAAGTGAGGATGGATTTAAACACTTATGAACCAGAGTGATGAGAGTGTGGTTACAGGATTTCAAACGTTGACCAGAATGGAAAAAGCTTTTTACAGCCTACAAATATCCAAATTTGCAAGAGTCCAAAAATGATGAAAAAATATAGCAGTCATACCGTCTTCCCCATGAGTCTCAGAGCTAAAATTTTTGCATTGATATTGTAAACCACACCACACAGACTAATATGTCTGAAATGACAAAGTGAGGATGGATTTAAACACTTAGGAACCAGAGTGATGAGAGTGTGGTTAGAGGATTTCAAACGTTGACCAGAATGGAAAAAGCTTTTCACCTTCTTCAAATTCTTACTTCAGTTAATAATAGCCATCCCGGTTTGTTTGATTGTTTCTCTAATTTAGTACATTGGAGTACCCTCCT